AAGCCGGAGCGCCCGGTCGCCCACCCTCCCTTCCCCTCGCTGGCTTTGCCTCTCCCGCGCCGGCCGCCTGCCTCTCTGGCGCTGCGGTTCCCCCCCACCAGCCACTTTCAGCCCGGCTTTATTTATCTCCTGCGTCTCGTACGTGGGAGGTGCTGTATGTGGATCTATATCCAGAGACGCAGGGCTCGGGTGCGGAGGGGAGGAGGTCATTCTTTTTTCCCAGTGAAAGTTAAGTGGCCCAAAGAGCGATGCCGCTATTGTTGAGCTGTGTTTATGTCACACCCCAAGCTCTGTGTCTGCCCAGCGCCGATGATTTACCTCTGGGGGCCGGAAGCTGGCCCCGGGAAGGGCAAGAGTCAGGGTAGGCATGACATTGCCCACGTAGCTGTCTCTGACGGACAGGCCCGCCGCAGGACAGAGGGCCCGGAGGTCAGCCTGGGTCCCGCGGCACCTCACCTGAGCTCTGCTCCGAGCAAAATCATGGCTCTGAAGCCATGTGCAGCCGCCCCCTTCCTTTCTCCCCCTGCTTTTTCTGCCCGTCTCAAGAGTTAGTTTCCCTATCTCCATGTGCCTCTTTCTTCCCTCCCCTCCCCATAATAGTTAAAAAAAAAAAACCATGCTGATATACCGTATAACTATATAACGCAGATGCATTTTCCAAAGCGGAGAGTGAACTCATGCACCAGGTCAGCCTAGGGCACTCCACCTCTTAACCCTGCACCTTTTGGAGAATGTGGCAAAGCTTCATGCACCAGGTCTGACTCCCTCCTGCCCCACTCAACCCCGACACTCGTCCTTCTCATTCCTCATACATTAAGACTCAAAATCAGATTGAAAGCTGCCCGTGGAAAGCATGCACCCCATGGTATGAGACTCCCCGGACAGCCCCGCTGGCACAGGGAGCAACACAGAGACCGGGAACGATGGTTCTCAAGCGCTCAGCACCTGCATGGGGGCCAGAGTTTCAAAGGGACTCAGCAGGCAACTGTGTCCAGCTCCCCTGAGCCAAGTCCTGCTGAAAACCGCAGGCGTTATTTCCAAGCCCTTCTCCGAAAGCAGAGGAGATGGCCTGCGGGGAAGGAGCTCTGCCATGCAGCAATACACTGCAATGTCCTGCTTCACTCCAGGGACATAAATGTGAGCAGATGTTCCTCCCTGCAGGGACAGCACATCCCCTTCCCCCCCAAACAGCAAACACCAGGCAAAAGCAGTAGCTCCATGCACTCTCCGCAAGGAGGCAAGACCTGGAGCCAGCTGAAACTCCTGTAGCTGGTGTGAGCTGCCAAATGATACCCATAAACACATCGCTGCAGAGCAACACCCCCCGCCGAGATAACAGCCCGGGTGGATCTCGACAGCTCACGGCATCCCTCCACCTGGATTTCCCTGGATAGCCGCAGGGCTTGGGGTGGCTAATAAAAAATGGGTTTCGCAACAGACTCGGGATATAAATCCCTGAACCCGCAGAAGGTGGGACTGCAGCAGGAAAAGGTTGTAAAGCACAGGGCTGGTGGTATTGCAGCAGCATCCTGGCCGCAGCCGTCAAGGGGAGATTACTGCACGAACCAGCATCTCGGGGACCCCCCTACAAGCCCATGGGGGCTGGTGCCCAGCAGGTCTGAGCGTGATGGTGATGCTCACCCAGGGGCAGGAGCGGGGTGGCAGTGAGGAGCACTCTACCCTATGCCATCCAGTCTTTAGCAGCTGCTTCTCTGCCCCAGCCCCAAGGCCAATGCAAAGATGTGTTCAAGCCTGAGCTGAAAGGCTGCCATGGGCACTGGGTAGGGTTGACTGAGCCAAGGGAACTACTTCCCAAAGCCAAGCAGAGCAGTGGGAGGTATGGTAGGTATGTTTAGCCCCTGAAACCTCCCTCTTGCACCACGCTATCCAGCTCCCTGCATCTCTCCACCCCAAAGGACAACATTACCCTACTCAACAGGGCATGGGAGAAGACATGAAAGAAGGGGAACCCCCTGGTAAGGTCCCACCTGGAGCCAGCCCAGCATGCACACAGAGCTCCACCACAGCAAGCGTTGAGCCTCAGAGCCCCTCCAGGTGCCTCCGTCCACCACCCAGTGACCATGGGACAGGAGGTGACCAGGGCAAGGCCGAGCCCCCCTCTAAGACCAGACTCCTCGGGGCACTTCCCTGGTGGCCTGCCAGCTCCTGGAGAATTTAAGCTTCCCATTTGTAAAGAGATAACAAGTTTCAGGCCCGTCTGGGCATTCAGGAAACTTTCTACACCTGACCTAATGCCACGCTGCCCGCCTGAGTCTGCAGATAAGGGGGCCGAAACAACGGAGCCTGCATTCGCTCCGAGACACCTGCCATCCGATCCTCTTAATCTCGGCAGGACGTTGACACAGAGGCTTGGCCACGACAATAAAAGAACTGTGAAGTGTTTCGCTGCCGGCGGCATTCATGGAGCCATCCGCCTCTTTGGGAATCGGGTGCGGAGGCTGGAACGGTGCATGAAGCTTCTGCCTCCTCTGTCCCCACTTCCACATCTTCATTCTGCCTTATCCTGTGCCTGCAACCCAATCAGACTTGATCCCATGCTCTCACAGACAAGGAGATGTATGCTATTGGCTTCCCAGGGGGGAGGTTTTGCAGTCACTCATTCGTTGTCCTTTAAGCCCCCCAAAACTTCCCACAGGCCATGCAACTCCTCTGTTATTCTGTGAAATGTAGTTCTCATTGTCACCTGCAGAATGGGGAAAGGATGGGGAAGGCAGTTATCTCTCAGGTACTGGGACACATCTCTTCTGATGCAAAGGTTGGCCCTGACCCTACATGGCTTCGATCCATAGGACCTTTGTTCTGGTCTCGAACGACTGCTGCAGGAGGCCCCGGCTCAAGCTGCATTGTTGCGTCCTGCATGCTCCATTTTGCACAAGACAATCAGTGCTGGGCTGTCAGGGCGGGGAGATTTTTTTGAGCTGGGGTTTGGCCCAAGATCTCTCTATGGCTATTAATACTGATGAATATACGGACATGTTTACCGTGCATCTAGACGTGGAAATTTCCCAGCGAGCAGCAGCCTTGAAATTTATCGTGGCTGAAATGGCTCCTGACCTGATGCCATTGTAACATGTAAAGCCGTGGCACGCTGCCCAGCACGGGAGTTACCCAGAGACAATAACCCAGCCGTGGTTTGCAAGGGAGTGACGACTCGCAGCTGGGAGGAATGAAATCTGTGCACCGACGCGCAGGCCCTGCAGCACAGCTAAAGTATCTCAGGTGCTGTGAACCACTGGGCCTCAGCACCACGATGACCACGTACCACCAGAGAAGGGCCATGGCTGCCATTGCCAGAATATACCTTGGGATTGCTCTGAAATATCTCCACGGGTCACTTGGAAGGGTTTCCCCTCTCTGGCCCGTTATCAGAGGAGGCATGAATATTTCTTTCCCTGCATCCTTCCAGCGCAGGGCTCTCTGGCTGGCTAGCCAGCTGCTTTGGGAAGTGTTCAGCAAAGCCCAGAGCAGTGATGTGGGATAACACATACCACTGAAGACTGCAGAATGGGGACTAGGGGGAAGCTGGGAGAGTGAAGGGATACTAGGACTTTTCCACCTCTAAAGGCCCTGCTATGCAGTCACATGAAAGCTAGCTAGACACCAGCTCTGGAGTTGTTACCCATTCTCAAGCACTCGCTGCACAGCTGGCAGGCTCCTTTTCTAGCTGGACAGCCATTTTTACCGTGCAGTCATTACTTTGCATATGTGGCCGCTCCGAATGCATCGCACACTCCACCCGTCCGGCGTGTCATAAATGTAACGTGTCGCAGGGGCCTTAAAGCAGCAACCCTGATGAGCTCAAGTAGATCCCGCTTAGACAGCCACTGCCACTGCCACTGCATGGCAAAGACCGGGGTGCCAGGTGCTGGGCCCCCTCTGGACCCTCCAGCCCCACTGCAGAGCTTCGCCAGCCTCTTTCTAGAGGGGTCAATGCAGACACAAGCTTCCCTGCTCCTCATTCCCAGGCAAGGGACTAAGCCTAAAGCAGAAGCAAGGGGAGATCCCACTTTGCAAGCTGAAAGCGCCATCTAGGGGCACCTAAATTGCAGTCTGGCACATGGCGGGGCTGGCATCCACATGCCCAGGACGCAAGTGTCCAGGGGAGAGGCTGGAGGGAGCAGGGGGAAAAACATCATGGGGGAGAGCATCTCTGCAAGCAGGGATGGAGGTGCTGCCCCTGCCTTGCCTCCCCAGGGCCTTGCAAGCTCCCTGGCGTAAACTGCAAGCTCCTCCAGCTCCGGGGCTGGCAAACCGCTAAGGCAAGGGATCTCTCGTGCACCACCCCGCCCTGCAGCCCCCAGCTCCTCTTCTTTGGGGCTGCAAAGGCACTTGTTCCTTCTGCCTCGCCCCGCTGCAAACCTGCTAAGGCAAGGAGCCCACGGGATCTCTCCACCCCTCCAGGTGCCCCCCTGCACCCCCAGCCCCTGCCTTTTCCTTGGGGAGGGGAGTTGGCTTGTCACTTCTGCATCCCCCAGCTGCAAACCTGCTAAAACAAGGTGCTCAGGGAATCTCCCCACCCCTCCATGGGGCTTCCTTGCACCCTTAGTTGCGGGGGGTCGGCTTGTTGCTTGTGGGGGGGTCAGCTTGTTGCTTCCACACCCCCCAGCTGCAAACCTGCTAAAGGAAGGAGCCCAGGGGATCTCTCCACCCCTCCACGGGGCTTCCTTGCACCCCCGGGGGGGAAGGCTTGTTGCTCCTGCCTCCCCGTCGCTCGGCGGCCGGGGCCGGGGCTGCCCCCGCCCCGCGGGCTCGGGGAGGCGCCCGCGCCGTCCCCCCCCCGGCCGGGGCTATATGAAGCGGCTTCCAGCGCAGCATCCTCCCCGAGAGCGGTGCGCTGCAGCCGGGCAGGGGGG